GGCTTATTTAACAAGTGGGATTTGAAGACCCACCCTAATATGATTGCTGAGACTCAGCAATCTAAAATGCGCCTTTTCATTAAAGTTTCGCTCTCCAGTGCCAATTTCAATCGTCGCACCGAGAAGCGCGTCAATTCCAGCTGATTTGAAATCTGTACGAGCTTGAAGATAAGGAAGTATGTACTTGATATCTACTTTGGCGAGGTATCCTTCATTAAGTACAGATTTCAAAATTTCAGGCTTGACAATAAATAAATTGCCAAGTTGACGAAGCATTTCAAATCGTTCGTCTAACTGAGGAATTTTAAAAAGAGTAATAGTTTCTTGATATTTAGCAATGTCCCTGTATTAAAGTAATTGTTAAAATATCAGCAAAATATGAAAATACAGATACACAAAAGAATTAGTGCTCACTTTGTTAAAACCAAACCACCAGCCGGACTCACACTAAACTTTTTGAAATGTTCTAATAGCATGCTGTTGTACATATGAAAATTAAACAGATAGTTAATTGCGTAAATAACATATTAAATAATAAAACTTTTATATAATAAATAAATCACCTGTGAAATGAATTTCCTATTTCAGTTAAGAAATGTTCCATATTCTTGCTATCAAGACACTTACTAACATTTGCGTGAACCTTTTTTAGACATTCAACACAATTATTACAAGGCTATAAATTGTAATATTGTGATAAATAAATAATGACAAATGAAACTTTATAACGAGATACTTTTAAAGTAAACACATACCGCAGTTGCTAGACTTGCAATCACATCATCCTCATCCCTAGGTCGAAAATCGACTTTTTTCTGACGAGATAATAAATAATTCAACCTAGAAATAATAGCTTTTAACAAATATTAATTAATTTATCAAGTTAAAAAAAGTATAAATAAATATACGTATATATACATATACATAAATGCCACTTACCATCAATCATTTTTTGTACAGTCGAATTGATTTTATTTTCTACACCCATCATAAATCTATTTTTATCAGAGGTAAGGTCGCGATGCATAGTCAATGACGGAGAAGCCAAAGGAAGCTACATAATGGATAATAAGCATTTAGTTGTTAGACCTAGATGAAAAAATAAATAAATAAATAAATGATATATAACTTACAATTGCAGACTGAAAATGATTTTGTGCTAAATGTATAGTATCTCCTGCGACCTTAATTACAGAAAACGATTTAAAATAAAGATCTGATTTTGGATCCATCACGGAAATTTGATCAAGACAACTAATCATTAAAAATAACGTCAGTTAGTTTTAACAATTATAAACCATCATATAATATGAGATTAATATATTACGTGTCCAAAGCAGTTTCAACATATTGCTTTCCGATATACTCTAGAAGGACGTAAAACAGTACTCCCGCGAATTTTGGCCTTTAAAAAATAAAATTTCATTAATAAAATATTATAAAAAGCCAAACAGAAGTAAAACCGTTTACTATTTACAATTCAGTAAATGGACTAAGCTTCACGGCACGCCTTATTGCTTCAGCATGTATTTTGAGAATCAACATGGCAGTATTAATTGACAAGTTTCCATCATCCTCAGTGGTCAGAACATCCATAATATTTGTATTAGAAGATAATGTTATCTGATTAAATGCTCGACCAAGCAAGCTACCTGCACGTAATTGTTTTTGTTGAGTCTAATATAAAAAAGATGCAGTGAAAAATTAAAATTTACATGAAACCTTGATTAAATTATAAATATATTAAGACCTACATGATAAGCTGTAAACTGCAATAGTAAGGATGAATATAATTCTCCTAATGATTTTTTTTCCTTTTCAATATAACGGTCACCTTCGGTATATGGAACAAATAAATCTCGAATACATTGTTCTAATATTTCAGCAATGGTACCACTATTTTGTTGTGATGCATCATTTGCATCCAAATAGCTAGTATCAGATAAACCTTTCTGACGCATGTCTAAGCCTTTCAAGTCTTCAACGAGTTCTTTTGTCGCAGTATGTGCAGCTACCAAACTACGTAAATAAGCTAAAGTTGAATTACTTTCAGCATGTGACAGAAGACTTTCGAGATAAGTTTGGATCTATTCAAATAAATAAAGTTATCAGTAAATTTTTTAAATATTAGTTATAGTATTAAAATTGAGTTTTTTTTTCATACCAATTGAGCAAAAATACGCTGTAAGAAAACTTGCATGACTCCAACCGGATCAGGGAAAACAACGTTTATGATTTGAGCCTCTTGATTAACAGTTGTTCTAATCTCTTGATAAAGATTAATAAGTCCTTGATCGACGGGTGGAGGCGGTACCTGAGGATTTGGTAAGTCATTCCAACTTCCAAATGTATAGACTAAGTTTTTTTTAACTTGATCAAGGCTCTCATAAATGTAACCAATAAATTGAAAAAGTAAATACCTTGAACTTGTCAAAAATTCGTTTGATTGACTAAGATTTACTTTTGTGATAAAAAATTCATGCTGATTAACGTATAATTTTACACATGATTCACAACCATTAAATTCTTGAAGGATTTTTGCGCAATTCTAAAAAAAAAATCCACAATTTAAATTGGAAGTTTAAATTTTTAAACGATTGATAGATTGACACAAAAAACAAATACAGACACGCATGGTTTTGACATCTTTTTGTCTATATGCCTTATCGAATTGATCAAGTAACTCTTTCTCCAAGACTTCACAATATTTTTCGATACGCGCCCCTGCCTTTAATTCATTTCGTGAAACAACCATAAAAACAACATTAGAAGGAAACGAAAAATATAAGTGATATCAAAAATAATAATAATAATAATGATAATAATAGTGAAATAACGCGAACTCACATCTTCTGCACCGGGAATATCCACTTCTTTTGCAATAATATTCAATCTTCTAGCGATAATAGAAGCCTAAATCATAAATGTTTTTTTTCAATTTTTCAAGTTGAATTAAGGGTTAAATTCAGTCAAAATAATACAAATTAAAATGTTAAAATGTTAAAAATAATCATTATGTACACCTTAAATTGACCTTCGGTCCCTTGTGTCCTTAAGTTTTCCAATCTTGATATGTCACCTTTATTAAATGCCATGAAATATTCGATTAAATCTTTTGATTCTGAAGCTCGGAGCCTCTGTCTATCAATGGTTTCTAATTGCTCCCCTATTTGAAGTTAACAAATTTGTCAGCAAAAAAAATTCTAGTTCATATAATAATCAAAAGGATAAATTGAATAAAATATTACCTATTCTAATAGCAGTGTTACCA